ACTGTCAACGGTGATATTAATGCTACCTTATATAACGGCAGGTAATAAGTCTCAGATGGTTACTAAAATCACAAATTAGTTTTTATGCCAATTGCAGATAGAGGGTATTAATTTATTCAAGCCAAGGGTTGCCAGATTTTGAAACGGAGAAAGGAGTACATTTATATTTTCGATAGAAAAAAAGCAGTACATGACATAAAAAATGAGTACAATTTATTTATTTTTTTAATTTTTGTGCAATTTATTGTTACAAATTACCATTAATAAGGTACAAGCAAAGGCAAAGACCATAGTGACGCGACAAAGAGAGCGACAAGACATTTTTGGATTATTAGCGACAAAAACAAACCTTTATTTTTCAATATAGCAGCACAAAGTGAAGTAAAAAGCGAAGAAAGCGACAAAGAGCATAGCGACGAAAACAAAAAAAAATGTTTTCGTTGCTTTCTGAGCAGACTGTTGCTTCACTATGTTTTTACGTTTCTTGTCTCTTTCTTCGCTATTATCCGAAAATGTTTTGTCGCGTCACTATGTCCTTTGCCTTAGAAATCTTATTCAAAGCAACAATAAATGTGAAAAATAAATAACTATATGGGTTGGCTTTCCAATAGGGACGATTGTTAAAGAGATGGTGATCGAAGGGGGGGTGGACGTGGTACCTTTTCCGACCTTTTTGGAGAGGGCATGAACCGCCATTGACAAAAATGTTACTCCCGACCACCTAGGGCCCCTACGTAACCCCTTAGAAAAATTGCCAAAAGTCACAATTTTCACTTGCGTCCACAGTATTTTTGCGTAGAATTCGATTCTCAATGACCGCCCTTATAGGAAAGTTTCCCCAACTAAAAAACTAAAGACTACAAAAGAATTCCAGACTCTTCCTGAATGTATGACAATTTTTTAAATTTAAGCCTTATAATTAACTTAATATTTTTCTGATTTTTATACCCGAGCGCCCTGCGCCTAAGGCTATGCTTACACCTTTTCACTATCACACTTAACTTACTAAGTAGTGTTTGCCACAATGTGAATGGCAAAGTACAGCGCGCAAAATAATATATTTATAGATTTTGTGTTTTTTTTTAGTTAACTTTGTAAATATTTTACTAGAATTTTATTAATTGGTTTTAAAATTTTAATCCTGATTTGCATTTGCCAGCCTTGGGAGATAAGTACATGCGGCACGAACCTATTTTTCAGGTGTATTTTTTCTTAGATTTTTTATAAAAAAAGAAAAAAAACTGTATAGGGTTGGTCGAACCAATGCCCTCCTAGTCAGCAGTTCCGAGTCTTTTCGATTGCTAAGTATGAGGCCTTATGTTGGACAAAAGACGGCGTATAAAGGACCCAAATTGGCTAAATTAGCCTATGGTTACAGAAGATATGTAATAAAGTAATCGACGAAGACTTGCGCTTTTCACCCAAAGTGTTTACCGCCGGAAAACCCAAATGAAGGTTAAAATTTAAAAACAAATTAATAAAATTGAAGTAAAATCTGTGGATAATTAACAATAAACTACTTTTTCGCAAAATCTATAAAGGCCTCTTTTATTTTTCAAAAAAAAAAACTATGCAACAGATATTATTTTACACCCTGTATATGATAAATGGAAAATGATACACATGGATGGAAAAAGGAGTACATAAGAAGTACAAAGGAGTACATTTCCAGATATTTTTTTTTGGAGTACATTGTAATAAAAAGGAGTACGTTTACTCCCAACAGCAGTACGTCTGGCTAGGGACACGAATTTCAATACGATACGATACCATATCGATACTTTTGGCATTCGATACCGATATTTTCTACTCGATAGTTTTAAAACGATATTTTTTGGAATCGAGTACCAGAACCCTAGTATCGCATCGAATGTCATAAACTCACATTCCAAGAATAATGTTATTAACAGCTCAACCTAATATTACCGGCGAGAGTTTTTATACGCACGCACGCAAGTTTTTCTCATTTGATAAACCGAAATCAATTTGCGTGCGTGATTTCTCAGAGTTGCATTTCTGTCAAATTTAGAGAAGTTTACTGAGAAAAATTTGAATACATAGTCGCGCCAAAATGCCAATTGAGCAAAAACCTCAAATCGAATTGTCACGCAAGACAAATCTTGGAATTTGAGTTAGCTTTTTACGCACGCATATAATGTTGGCCTGTAACAATTCGGATGAATATAAATTGGGCTTCATAGAGCAGAAGTCTGAACTATAGTTAGGATTGCATGAGGTGGGATTTGAACCCGCGGTTTCGGTGTTTTAAGTCAACACCTCAATCTCTACGTTTTGAAATAATAATAAAGTCCGGCGCTTATTATTTGTAAAAAAATATATTTTTACTTTCAAAATGTTTGTAATTTGAAAAATGTCATGTGCATATTTTACACAACTCATGTTCAAAATCAAATCTTGAACATCTTGTGCATATACTTGAACAGATTCTGGTTGAAAAATAAACACTTTTCAGTAGTAGTTTTTAATGCACTTTTTAGAGTGTATAATATACATATGTATGGATGATATAAAAGCCGCGGTCCAACACATTTCGTGTAAAATCCTGGAAAAAGGTCAAACAGCAAAATCACTCTCTGAAGTGAGAGTAATAAGTGAGTAACAGCAAAACGTAGGGAACAAAAAAAGCATCGGGTAAAATCTTGCAGCTTAAATCTCCACACAACTCTCCAAAAATCGCTTTCATTTACATGAACCACAGAATATATTCCGAAAAGAAAAACTTGATTTAGGAATATATGCAAATAGAAATGCTCAAACTAAAAGCTCAAAAACAGTAATTGATGCGGTGTTTTCAAGATATTTAAACGTCCACAAATATAAACAAGTATCATATTTTATCAATCATACCGATAATTTCATCTATTAAAAGATTTAAAAATGAAAATGAATAAAAAAAATTAAATCTGAGAAATGAATAAAATTAATTGAAATTAATGTTTAATTTCTAACCTAACCTACATGTGCATGTATGTAACTGAATCGCCTAATATTAGCTTTACATATAAAAAGATTATCCACATTTTCGAGCTTAACTCCCTAATATGTAATCAGAAAAAGAGATTAGCCATACAAAATTATAATTATAAAATTATCCCCGTTTAAACTGATAACTTTTTGGTGTCCAACCTAGTTTTATCGATTATACTTGCGAAGAAGAGGAGGAATGTAAAATGTATAGTAAACAAAAATTGACGCTAGTAAGGGAAAGAGGTTTGTAAAGGTATTTTTCATAAAGTATTCAGTTAAAATATATTTAAAGAGCATAATATGTGTAGCTGAAAAAAGTGGCCACGGTCGCACAGAGAAAAAGTTTAACTTTCTCTCGAGTTGGGTGAATAACAAGCACAACGAATTTGACAGCTAATGAGCTTTGATTGAGATTATATTTATATGTAAATATACTTTTATGCTTTGCCGTTCGCTTATGTTTACACATCAAATTTCATGAGGCACCTAGTGCTCACGCCTTTTTTGTTCTGTACGTGTTGCTGGTACTCACTTTTTACTCTCACTTCAGAGAGGGATTTTGCTGTTTGACTTTTTCCAGGATTTAACACGAAAAGTATTGGATCAGAGCTATTATATCATTCATACATATGTATACTATACATATGTACATATATGTATGTATGTTCATCAGTTATCAACGGTCCCAGTCAAGCCAAAGGCACGATAGTGTTTTGACAGCGAAAAAAGGCCCGTAGAAAATTTTGCGAAAAAAGATGCTTATGAAAAACTTCGGCGAAGTATGTTAGGGGTTTTTGACGCTTAAGTTTTTTGTGCGTCTTTTTTCGCCGTCAACTTTTAAGCTCGCGCCTTTATTCGTGTCTAGTGACGATTTTATTAACTTTTCGCCTTGCTTTTTTATCAAAATAGAGTAGTGAACCTATGCCTATAACCATCTGCGAATTTTAAAACCAGTTGCAATAAATGATACATATGTATGTATGTACACACAAACTTATGCATGTGCGGAGTTTGCATAATCGGAAGAAATAAGCAATCGCACCGCATTTCCTGTTACTATTCATATGCCTAAATGTATGCAATCATTTACAATAGCAAGTAAACACAGGGTGGTTGTAATGAAATTAAAATTTTATGCTGAAATACACAAGCTAAGCCCTTCGAAATTTTCTGCTGGGCTTTACCCTTACCGAAACCAAAGATGTATACATATCAAAAATTAATTTAAAAGTTCTTCAAACAAATTTATACGTATAAAGCTTGCTACTTCATATTTGCACAAATAAAAATTTGGTTCGTTACATAAAATTGACCGCAAGTTTCCTTTACCGATACTCAGTTGGCTTTTCAAAGCATGGCCTGAATATGTAGAGCTGTTACGTTCTTTTGGTCATAGGTAATAGTCCTGTCCGCGTACGCACTATCCAGTAAAATCCAGTACTGGTTTTACTGGTTTTTACTGGAAGTCGTTTTCGTACGCAAAAACTTGCAATAAACCAGCAAAAGAGATAGAATTGAGAGAGCAAATTTGACAGCTGAACTTGCAAGTTTTACTGGATTTTTACTGGATAAATTTTTACTAGCAACTTTTGCTAGTAAAATATACAGCTGATTGGAAGCAGCTGATGAAAAATAAAAAATTTTTAAAATTTAAGTACTTTTGTTAAAAAGGTGAAAAATGGAAACAGTAAGTAAATATATACAAATATTTATTACATATACAAGTTTATAAAGTTCACTGTGTACATAAATATATTAGGAAGAGGCCCAGAATCTATATATACGCGAGAATAGTAGTGCATCTTCAGCCGGAGTGGTTGCAATTACCACTTGTGAGGAGCAAATTGTGAATTGCGAAGGTAATAGTGCATTTGGTCTTTATTTATCCTTTGTAAGTAATTTTTATCGTTATACATACATATGTATGTACATACTTATTACGTAGAAACGACAAGAAAGCGGACGATTGCCACTGTAGTTTCGATGTTAATGGAGTCGTCCTCATCGGAAAGCGAAGATGAGGAAGAACGTATGATCGTAGAAGAACTAAGATCAGATGATATTGGTTTGTTTCTACAAGAAAAAAATCCACGAAATTGTGCATTGAATTATATAGAGTTGACAGTGCCGAGTTACACGGAAAAAGAGTTTCGAATGCATTTCCGCATTTCCAGAAACTTATTTGAAAGCCTTAGCCAAAGATTTTCTGTTTCGGACTTTTACAACAATTTAAGGGCTGACAAAAGGCTTCTTAGAAAAAACTCATTTGCTCGTGTTTTTATGGTTTGCTGGACATGAAGCCTGCAGCTATAGAGACTTAGGGGATCGTTTTAATCTATGCCTGTCATCAGTATGTAAAATAATTGCCAGAGTTACTATGTTCATTAGCTCATTGAGTCCAGATGTTATAAAATGGCCTACTCAACAGCAAAACCTAGAATCAAGCGAATTTTTCAACCGTACATGCTACTTTTCTAAGGCAATAGGTAATCCATGCAAGAGGTCCTTGGCTTCCTATTCATAGTTATTGTTATATAACCTATCATATAATTATAGGTTGCATTGATGGAACCCACATCCAAATTGACCCACCAAAGAGATCAAAGGACGATTACATAAATAGGAAGGGAATTACGTTTATAAACATTTTCGTGGGATATCCTGGTTCTAGTCACGACAGTTGGGTTTTACAAAACTCCACTATTTATGATAAGTTGCCGTCGTATTGTGGAGGTAAGTAAAATTAATCAAAACATGAAAAAATCTTATTTGAATAAGAACAGCATTTTTATTTTAGATTACTACCTTTTGGGTGATTCTGCATATCCCTGCAAGAAATATTTAGTAACGCCCTACAGAGATAATGGGCATTTAACAAATGCCCAAAAATACTTTAATTTAAATCTGAGCTCTGGACGTATCGCTATAGAACACTCGTTTGGCATGTTGAAACAAAGATTCCGTCAGATATATTATTGTAAGCTCAGAGGAATGGAAAAACTTTGCCACTTCATTCCAGCCTGTTGCGTTTTGCACAATATAGCTAACGAAGATGATTTGGATTTTATTTGCGACACATCTCCAGATGTTACTGATGACTTCACCGCTCATGGCGACATTTCAAGGGGGAATCATGTGCGAGGTCCTATATGCCAAGAGATAGAACTTCGTCGTAATACATAGAACCGCAGTTGTACAAAATGTATGTTTGTGTGATTAATTTTATGGCATTTTGTTAAAACCACACATTTCATTGAAAACATAACACTAAGTTTAAGCAATTCATGTATTTCAAAAATATATCGCAGCATGTAAGGCTCTGTTTGATTGAAAAAAATTATCAAAAAGTGTGATTATGAAATATAAATAAAAATTTAATAATAAAACAACATTTGTACTTCATTTCCAGAGTAAAATGGCTTAATTTTCGTAGAGGTGTCTGAAATTAAAAAAAAAGGTGTTAGTGAACATAACATTATTTTAAAGCATATTTTTAACACATACTGTAAAACTAGTAATTTCTTTAATATTTCCACCATTGACTTTAGTAAATCTAGTTTCTCCCTCCATCCTAGCTTTCTCTTCTGCTCTTTCTGCCTTACTTTTCATGTTTTCTTCAAGCAACTTTCTTAACTTTTCATCCGACTTTTTTTTTTCTTCTTAATACTTTTGAAGTGCTGACTTCCTTCTTTTAGATGTTGATGGCCCAATGCCGGGGACGTCTATATAAAGAAAAATACATTTTTGAATAAAAAAGGTAGGAACGTATGTGTAAACATGTTATACTGTTTTGTATCCGAGCGTACTTGTGCACAAGAGTAATACAACTTTGTTCACATAAATATTATGCATATTTGGAATACCTGTGGCAGGTGGAGTTGCGGGAGAATTAGGTTTCCTTTTTTTCGAAGTGGATGGGGTGAAATCCATATCATCTGCTGAAAATTATGAAAAAATCATACACGGAATACGTTCGATATAAATCAATAAAACTGTACGTCAAAATCAACTTTTTTTCTGGGTATTGGACCAAACCAAGAGATTGAGTCATAGGTAAAAAAGTAATTTCTCCGTTTTTCGAAGTTAGCCAAAAAAAGTTAAACAAAAAAATTACTAACCAATTTTTAAAATGTTGGTATCGTTATAATTATTTGTTTTATTTAAATATGGTATTCAATTGTATTACTAATTAGTAATTTTCTGGTATGCATATCAGAATAATTAAATATAATTTTTTACCAAAGGTCCAATTTCGAACTTCGAAGGCCATTATCTCGATTTCGGAGGCTAACTTCGAAAAACGGAGAAATTACTTTTTTACCTATGACTCAATCTCTTAAAAAAAATTGGTTTGGTCCAGTTCCCACCCGAGTGCTGTACAGAGTAATAGTTACCCGACGCAGCTGGTGACTGTTCGAGATATTTTTCGGGATCGCTGACATCAGGAAAATTTTGAGTTTCACTGTCCAACACCGCCTCAGGAAAAATTGATTTTCTTTCCCTTAAAAGCTCGTCCAGTTCACTTTTTAAATAGAAAGATGGAAGAAAATCATTAACTATTTCACATCATAATCAACATTTTATTAAAATATTTACTCCTCAAAAGGACAGATCTGTCTTGCCCTTCCAGATTATAAGTTATTCAATTTCGTTTGCTTATATTGCCTCTCCAGGGTATAAAATTTTGTTTCCAATTATTGCGCGGTATACATGTACCCCTGCTCGCAAAGGTCATTGCTTATGGTGATCCCCTTTTTGCTTTTTGCTTTTCAAACTCGCTTTTTTTCCAACCATACCTCGCAACTCGTTCACTCTGTTTAAAAGGAGTTTTGTGGGCGCTTCTAACCACGTAAGTTTTTTTGTTTTTTGACGTTTCCGCGTCAATCGGAATGAAGTCTTCTCCTTCCAATTCGCCCGAGACACTTTCTGCCATTGCAAAGCTTCCGCTGGGTTCTTCATTTATAATTATGCTTTCGAAAACTTGTTCTCCAGCCACTTGACTAATTATGTGCTGCCTATAATCAGCATCTACAACGTAATTTAATTAAAATTAATGTGTGTACATGCATATATAATAACATTTTATGAATTTTATAATTACCATAATTAACTCTCTTGAATGTTCTAGGAGTAAGAGTTATATTTAGCTCTTTATTTTCCATTTTATTTACTTTAATTTAAAATTTGCACCCGCGCTTTTATCTGCTTAAACTTTTTGTTCTTTGTTTTTGATCGATTTACGCGCCAAATAAAATTCTGCTGTCACAAAAACTTGCAACTTCTTACTAGTTTTGCGTTTTCGTACTTTCTTGCATGTTTCTCTCACTGAGAGCAAATTTTTGCTTACGCTCCGAAATTTGGTTACTGGCAAGTTACTGGATATTTTTTGCTGGAGAATACGAAAACACAGCTAATGCTTTACCAAATTGTAGCAGTGGTGGAAGAAAAAACGGTTATTTTCTACTATAAAGACGTTCTTCTAGTGTCGAGGCTCTTTTTTTCAGTGTACCACTGAATGATCAAAAGTGTTTGCATTCAACCAAAATTGACAATCACGATCATTGCGAGTGCTTCTGTTCCATTCACATTCTATACTGAATGGAACTCTACCATTCAATAACACATTACCTTTGTTTTTGTTTCAAAATAATTTAAGCCACTCAGGAATGAGGTTTTTTTATATGTATAACCAAACAAACAAAATTTTGAAAATAATGCCGAGTGTATGCAGATCCTACTGATTCAATCATTTTACAGCTCTGGTATAAATATAGGTACATAGCCTTATGCATTCACGGAGATTGCATAATCGGAAGTAACAATCATTTGAACCGCATTTGCTCTTACTCTGCATATGCCTAAATGTACGCAACCATTTCCAATAGCAAGTAAACACAGAGTGCTTCTAATGAATTTAAACATTTTCTGTTGCATTACACATGCTATGCTCTTCCAAATTTTCTGCTGGGCTATGCGTTACAGCTTCGCAAATTTTACCCCTACCGAAAACAAAGAAGTATGCACATCAATAAATTAATATTTTCCAGGAATGAAAGTTTTGAACAAAGTTCTGTTTTCAAAGTTGTGGCTGCAAACCGAATCGGATCAGAATATTATTTTTTGGAAAAAGCACCCGGTTTTTTTATAAGCATTTTAATCTCAGAAAGTTACGTAATTCTTATCTTATTAATGGTCAGACTTATAGTTTTTTAATTAATTGAGCATCGATATGGAAGGAGCTTACTCTTTGATTTTAAATAGCAAAGAAGGGACATTTTTACCACAGATTTTTTAGCCAAGGATCCAATGTATATCCCTATAAAAAAATATTGTCCGACAAGTATACAAAATTAATGTTTTTTAAATTTTTGCTAAAAATAAATTCCCAAAAGAGCCCCATTTGAAATTATGGAAACGAATACATACATATATGAAACATCAAAAGCAAATTACGAAAATTTGGTTAAGAATTACAGTGCACACTTTCTTCTGTTGTGGCTAGTAGTACTTTTAAGATTGGTCCAAAAAAGAAAGAAACCAATGCATGCATTTAAAACAAGAAAACAAAATCTTAAAGACTATGTTCTCTTTGACGTACGTCAAAGGTCTAGTAGAAGTCGGAACTTATATGACTTCCCGTTGATAGCTCGGTTGTATAGCCTAAGAAATAATATGTTTAAAAATATTTCTATCAAAGTTGATAAATATGACATTTGACCAGTTTTGTTACCCAAAAACTCCCACGATCACGGTCAAAAATATTCCAACTTTTTGAATCGTTATATCTCGGAAACGGTGGTTCTTAGGAAAAAAGTATTTAGACATTTTTTATAGATAATTTTCTGATCTACTATTTTTGTCTAAACTAATTTTATGATAAACTTTCCGTTTTGCTAAAAATCGCGAAAACCCCGTTTTTGTGACTTTTGACCCCGAGTAACTTTTTTTCCAGGTACCGGATCGATGAGGACTTTCTAGATTTCATTTATGATGGTGTTTTGAAGAGTCCTACCAATTTTCAGCTGGGTGGGAATTTTTGTAACCGCGAATGTCTAAATTGATTATATAACCCTTCCTGACATAAAAATTTTTTCCGCGGTAAGGCTAGCCATTTCTAACAGATTTTGGGTCAAAGATATGGAAACATATATATTTGAATTTTAAAAAATCAGGGCAAATAGCAAAATAGGCTAAAAACGGCGATTTTTTACAAAACGGCTAACAAATCGGCTGCCGGTTAAAACGAAATTTCTCTGGCTGCTTGCTATCGCAAGCGGCCAAATCAAACCTGAAAACGGCTAAAATGGCAACACAGATTATAACTCGGTCCTAAGGGTGCCAGCAGAGCGAATTCATATAAGGTGGTGTTTCCGGAAAATGAGTAAATAAATTATATATCAGCAAAATTAATAAAATGAAACTAAATTGACGTAATTTCTAACCAAACCTATCTATGTAACTCAATCGCCTAATAGTTTGCCGCGCCATACACATACATATGTTTACACATCAAATTTCGTGAGTACCTGGTACTCACACCTTTTTTAAGAAGTTTGACTTCTATCACGTGTATGGTGATACACGCGCCTTTACTTTTACAAGCTTATATTTAAATATCCTCATTCAAAAATTACTTCCAATACACTTCTTTTTCGTATTCAGGAAAAATAAAATAAATGTCGAAATTTTATATTATCATTTGGATGCTATGTCTGATCGAATTCAAATAAGAGACCACCTACAAAATAACATGTAAGCGAATATGTAATGCTAAATAAAATAAGCAAAAAATTAAAATATAAAAAATTGAAAAAAATCTTTTTTATTGATAGTTTATGTCAAAAGTAGTTAGCTAAAAGTTATTTGACATCTAATGCAGAGGAAACAACGTGACGTAAAGCAGAAAGAGAAGTAGGAATTTAAATATCTTTAGTGACAGCCAAGCTGCACTCAATCCATTGGCCAGCCCTCTAACTACTTCCTAACTAGTAAAGAAATGTAAATCTTGACTAAATTATGGTGAAGAACAAAATGAACTTGTGTTACTCTGCCTGCTAGATCACTCGGAAACATTTAAGTATTTCCATACGTCACGAACGTGACAGTCGTACGTTTCAGTGAGATACAAACCAGGAAAAAACATTTGTTTTCCTTTACTTCTTTGGACCCTTGTGTAAGACATAATTAGCCCTATATATACCCGAAAAGAAGAAAACAATCAAACCGCATAGTCCTTAGC